CCTGCAAATGTTTGCTTACACTTTTAAATGAAATTGCTTCAATACTGCTTGCTACTTGTTTCTGTTCACTCCCTACAGATATTCAGATAAAAAATTTATTTATGCTTGAAGTTACAATGGGACTAAGCATCTGATCTTACCTCCGCTTTTTTTTCCTGTATAAATTTGGTTAAACTGCACAGAATCCTTGCAGGCATCCAACTCCCAAGAAAAGCAGTGGGCACTATATGCAAAAGTGGGGAGGGAGTGCCAAAGTGCTTTAAGGATCTACATACTTATCTTAGTTTTCTTCTTCTGTAAAGTGAAGACAACTTTAGAGGAAGACGATATTCAAGACAGCAGAGTTTTGTGACTACAGTAGAAGGGCTTGTATAGAAGCTTGAAGATATATAGATGCTTTTCTGCATCCGGGTTTGGTTTCTCTCAGATCTAACAGCCAGGTCTACCAGACTACGTTGAAAAATCTTGCTGAATTCTCATCTTCAGCCAGTTCAGATTCTACAGGGCTGTTTTTTTATTATTTGGCTGACTTGCATTCAAGTCCATCTCACCTAAATTGAGAGGAGCTCTGGGGCTATGTTCTACAATTCACTGGCTATAGCTGCTGCTACTGGATAGTGGTCTTCCCTCTCCCCCCACTACTCTTCTGCAACTAAGAGTCTTTCAGCCCTGGTTCTGACCAGGGTTTTCTTGGCAGTTTGTTTGGTCTGTTTTCTTCACAAAGCCAATCTGTCATGATAGGCCATGGATAAACCCCAATCTCTCATGTAGTTGAATCCTGAAATGACACATAATGAAATGCAGATTCAGGATTCCCTCTTAATTACACAGGATAGTTTTCTCAGTACAACAGAATTTCAGCAAAAAAAATGGCTATAGCTTTATACAGGATGCAAACACAAGACACTGAACTCATGAATGTGCAGACTGCTTTCTGTTAATGGCTAGAGAGGACCTAGTCCAAAGACTCAGGAGAGGTCCATTTCTCAGAACTCAGACACCTGGACTGTACACAAAACTACACACTAAGACACAGGTGTTCATTACTGTTATTAAAATTGATATATTTGACATGAACTCTAAAAATAAGGAAATCCAGAACACTAACACTTTGCCCAGTTTTTCTGTGATCCACAACATGTGATGGTCTGACACAATGTACTTTAACAGTGTCATGATGAAAAGAACATTCAGTCTTGAGGTTCCCGTTGATAATGGCAGCTGGTTACACTTTACCATGAAACACAGCTTGTTCTCATTATTCACCACTAACTCGGTGGAGGAAGACAGCATCTTTCATATACTTACAATTAGCTGAAAATTATTGGTTTAAGGCATCAGAAACATTGAATAACTTATATAACTTATACTTGGAAAGGTAAAGTAATGGATGAAGGATACAGTCCTATGTTTAAAATTAAGCATCCTTAAAAAAAAAAGTTTTTAAAAAAATTAATGACAAACTGGTCTCCCAGAGACTGCTAATATTCCACAGCATGTGAGAGAAAATAAAAGGATTTTTCAATAGTGTATAACTATACAGAGAATAGTCTATCCAGGAAAAACTAAATAAAAAAAATAATAATTAAAAAAAAAACAAAAACCCCAAAAAAACAAAAACATCCCAACTTTTAACATTAACATTGACTACCTCTCAGCTGGTCCTTCATAACCCTGGATTTAGGAAATCAGAGGTATTAAGTGAAATGCAGCAATCCAAAAGTAGCAACAAGGTCCTAGGAACATGTGTGGACTTGTGTCAAGGTGTCAGAGATTAAACCACAGAACTGTAGGCAGCCAGATGTAAGAAAGAGGAAGTTTACAACTTTCAACGTAAGTGTCAAGCCTGCTCATCTATTTACTTTCTCCAATTGCTATTCCTCCTATACACTTTCTGCAAAAAATGGTCCCTCAACTCTGACTTCAAGCATAGTTTTTGAGCTTCTGAAAGCCCATGACACAGTCACCTTCACTGAGCCTTGCCTTGCATTGGAGTATACCTTGTGAGGTATAGAAGACCCACAGAAAAAATGGTCCAGGCTCAGCCATCCTAAAACATACCTGTGCCTTGAGGGCTGGCTATGGGATTTTAGAGGTGTCAGTAGGGAAATTAGGCACAGAGGTTCGATGTGCCTTGGCCTGTTATTCCACTAAGAATAAAAATTAAAAAACATGAAGTAATGTTTCACTTTTACTGCAGTAAAACATTTGTGAAGTACGCAACCCTCAAAGTATGAATCGGGCTGGATGACTTGGACATTATTTATACTTTTTGTATGATTAACTTCTTGATGGCGACATCACTATGTAAAATAAGGCACCATTCAACACTTTCAAGGCAACGTCATTGTACACCTGAAAATTAAGTATCCTAAATTTAGTTATCCTCAGAATAATTACACTTTGGGCAAGTCTGTGATGTTATATGTGTCAGCTTAAAATAGTGACCAATTTAAAGTAAACATTTGTTTAACATATTGTTGTGCAACATGGATTTAATAGTAGTTTAGATATGTAATCTTGGTGTTTTTCATTAGTCTGTAACTTCTCATTGCCATTTATCTAAACTATGTAAGCATTAAGTCTGTGAGACTATGACCAGTACACCAAGGTCAAGTCCATTAGGAAAAAAAAAAAAGTCTCTTCATTAACAAGTTCTTTGAAATGTGCTGTCATTTCCAAACGTTCCTCAGGAATGTAATCCTTTTTTAGTCCCATAAATTTCAATACTGTATGAGAGTAAAATTGTCCAGGAACCTCAACAATAATTTCAGTAATAAACCTAGCAGAGACCTTTGTAACAAGGAGAGTTACAAGCAATTTTGGTTTGACAAATTACTTTAAACCAATCTTAATTATTTTTTACAGCAAAGTAGCAGGCTTTGGAAGAACACAGAATCACAAAGTGGTTGAGGTTGGAAGGGACCTCTGGAGGTTGTCTGGTCCAAGCCCCAAAGATGGGCAAGAGCAGCAGATGCTACACATCTTGATATTCATCAAGGTTTTTATTTTTATCACATATGCAATATTCATTGGTATAGTACAAAATTAACTGGAAAACTGCATGAAAAGAAATAGCAGTATCTCTCTATCAAACTGAATGTACTTATTAACTGTGTCTATTTTATACTTGCCTACTATTTTCATTTGTGATTCCAAAAGTGGAATAGACAGAACATTCAGGAAATATGAATTGAATTGCAAGAACACTGGAATGGGGATTAAAAATGAAATTGGTCATGATAAATTGAAAAAGTTATCTGAACAAAATAGAGCACAATTTAATAACAACAAAGATGGTCACATATGAACAAACAGTCAGCTCTATGAATACAGATCTCCATTTAGCAGGAAAGTCTTTGGAACCTTTGTGGATTACAAGTAGAATATGAATCAGGAGCACAACATACAAAACTCCTGTTCCTTTCCCGCGCTATGGGCAATCTTAAACCCAAACACCATGGGCATTACACTTGAAGAAAGATGTGGACCTAGTGTAGGGAATCCAGAAGCTGGCAAAAGTATGATCAAGGATTAAGAAAAACAGTGAAGAAGTGGGGTCATTTAGAAGACTGAGGAGGAACGCAGCAGTCTTCACAAAGAAAGGTTGCCTCAGAAAGGGTGGGATTTGTCTGTTCTTGACAGTGATAGAGGCTTAAAGTGCTGTGACAGAGGGGTACGTTAGACCTCAGAAAAGGTTTCATTTAAGTCAGTTAACCACTGGAATAGATTACCTGGGCAAAGCATGGAATATCTACTGCTGGTAGTCTTTAAGAACAGGTAAAACAGGAACCTGAACGCTTGCAGGTGGAGATGATCCTACCTTACAACAGCAGTCCCTATTGGCCTTACACTCCATGATTGTCATTCCACAGGCACTTAAGTTTCACTGCACTCCTTCCCTGGCCTCACCTCTTACCTCTGTATTTAGCTTTCAGCTTATTCCTAAAGCCTTGGCCACACTTACACTCAAGAAATCACATGGAATGATATAATGAGCTGGTGTCATACTCCTATTCTGCATGTTCATTATTCTCTTCTTTCACTTGCATCTTCTTTGTATATGAGGCAATATAAACCACCCTGGGTGCATGCATACATGTGAATGTGTACTTTTTAAACACAAAAAGCTCCCATTCTTGATTAGCCTTAAAATGTCACCAAAATAAATGTTTGGTAACACATGCCTCTTAATCAAGTTGCATCAGTACACCTCACAATGCCATTTCACAGTTATGATGCAGTTGGTAATAGCTAAGATTGTACAGTGTACAGAGGTGACACATTTCTTTCTAAAATAATAGCAGCACTAACTTACATGATGTCATCAGTTTTGAAGAGGAAATGACCCCAAAGATTAATGAGAAATTGTGCCTAGAAGTCAAAGGTATGATACAGTCTTACATTATTAAACTAGAGCTAGATATGATCTAACCTACTTCAAACAGTCCAGCCATTAATAGAGAGTAAAGGCAGAGTACCAAGAGTCCATATTTATCTCTGATGTAACACCAACAAAGCCAACAGAATTCCTTGAAGTTCAGTGTGCTTTAGAGTGCCATACAGCAAGTGCCACAGGTCATCCTGTAAACTGCAATGTATGATGGATGGAAAAAGCAATGCCATTTTCCGTTCTTATTTAGGAAACTTTATACTAAGAAATAAGATAGCACAGGACCGTATTCAGAAAATGTCTGTTTATTATTATGTAATGATGTATCAATTCACTAAAAAAATTTACAAATTCAAATATGAACATACTCCAGGAAGTCCTCCGGAATGAAGGAATCATGAAGTTCCATAGGAAATTTGATTTTTTTTTCTATATTGTACATAATAAATATAATTCTGCTGTAAATAGTATACAAGTAAACATTGAGTTTTATATACAACTTGCTTGAAAAGCAGTTAGGAATTAAATAGGCTATATTTTATTTTTTCAGAATCCTAAACTAGATCATTCATCTATCTGATAAAGTCAGACTTACTATATTAATCACCAGACTAGAGGTAGTGATTCCCTCATCCTTAGCTCTGACACCAAACACGATAGTGTTCCCAGACCCCCCTGAAGGTACATTCTAAATAGACAGACATTAATAGATAATGACTGGGAACAGAACACATAAATACCTTTTAAAAAATTAACAAACCTGGATTTCCTTGGGCATATGAGCAATAAGAAGAAATCACCTAGAATAATTTTAGAGACTGTTTCTTAAAATTTTGCATTTATAGCCTGCTTCTGGCTTTACACTCCATGAAAAGAGCCATTATTTACTTGTGATGATGAGGGGTCTCTACTCTGCCCAAAGCTGTCAGCATATGACAGCACCTCACATTTAGCAGTTTCAGAATGTTCAGTATTTCTAACCCAAGTTTTGTACTTCCAGAAGAACAAAACCCTTGCCAACAAATTAAGAATTGAGCAGTCCCAGGGAAGGGGAACTAAAGTAGCTGTTAATTTCCTACTATTTCTAGTGCAGGTCTGTGTCACCCTGTTTACATCATGCATCATTCATCTGCTGTGATGAAACACAACCCCATGTTTTAAAAAAAGACCTCCGTAACAGTGAGGATACTATATCTTTGTGAGAAGTGTTTCACATATTTTCCATGGGCACAAACTCCTCCTGCTTCTATTTAAATCTCTGTAGGTCTCTTTGGGGGACATTATTCACTTTGCTAACTTCATTCAGAAGGTGCTTAGCGTAAGAAGGGGAAAAGCCAGCATGGCAGCAGACAGCAACATGGGTCCTGAAGAAAAGCCGAGCACTACTCCTGTGAAAAGGGCTGTCCACAAGATCCGAATGGCCAGCCTAGTCTTCAGCTTGGCACAAGGCTGGCAGCAGTGGGCATCTGAGCACCATGTAAAGCAAGCCCAAGAGCCCTCTGGATGGATGCCCTCTGCAGAAGACTCATCAACACAGCCGGTACAAGAAAGACCCTTCGAAAAATGGCCAATTCCATTTGCCAAGAAGGACCAAGGAAAAGACAATGAAGAATCCTCAGTAAAGGAATCAGTGACAATAGGAGATGCTGAAAAAAATGCAAGGGAATCAGATGAAGCCCTCAAAAAGTTCAGCATTAAAAGCAAAGAGGTGACCAAAACAGTTATAAGCAAAGCCTACGAACGAGGAGGTGATGTTAGTCTCCTGAGTGGAAGATATGAGAATAACAACAGTAGCTCAGAGATGGCAGAGATCAAAGAAGAATCAAGTGCTATTGACAAAATTCTTAGCGGCAAATTATCTCCAACCAGAACGAGAAAGTGTTCAAACATGGTGTCAGAGCTGACCAAGGGCTGGAAACAGATGGAACAAGAGAACAAATTGGGGGCTAAGGAAGAACTGCTGCTTAAGTGTCATGATGACAGCCTGGATGCAGAGGACAGTGGCTATGGGGAGGCAGAGGACAAACTGGAGCAAGAATACAGTGACCAAGAGGTGACAGCTGTCAGGATTAAACGACCTGTGCCATCTTTGTAAGTAAAACACCTTTATTACAGTATCACAAATGGTCAGCAGACCTGGAGACAGGTACAGGTTTCCATGAGGAAGAAGGGAGAAGCAAAATTGGTAGGAAGTGGTCAAAGAGAACCTATTACTCTTGAAAACAAACAAACAAACAAACAAACAGAAAACCTTGCACGTATCTCTGTGCTTAAGTAGTTAGTCAACAATATGCGACTGTAGCCTTAGGTTTTATGTGCTATATACATAATAGACACAGGAAGTTATATTTGGGAAATGTTAATTACATTTAATTTTCTGGATTTACTGGTTCATTGAAATGACTACTTCTTAATACTTTTGTCTACATTTCAGATTAAAATCACCTCATCAAGAGGCCACAGCTATTAATTTATTTCATCAAATGTTAAGTCTAAAGCAATGTACCTGACAAATATTTCCAAGTACTTATTTTGCTTAGTATAAATTGTCCATATTCTTGGGAGTAATTTGCAGACAATGTCCAAACCAGACATTGCAGGAATTACCTTTAAGTGCATATTAACAAAAGACGGGATCCCTGCTTCTCTTTGGAAGTTTTCCACGGATTTGGAATTCATCAAGTCAAAGAATGAAAGCTTTCACAGGAGCTGGGACCCCAAATATACATTAAAAATCATCCAGCCTGTGTCAACATCTGAAGGACTGATTTGAATCATGTTGTATACTATAAATTATTTGACAAAAAAGAGCATTTGAATTATCAATAGATTCTTCAAATTCAAGATCTCTACAGGTACACTATTATAAGGAGCAGGGTGTGGAGGAAGTACATTCATTGAATATGTTGTGGAAGTAAAAGTTTCTGATATACAAACTTCCTTATGCCTGTAAATGGTGTGACGAAAAAGGAAACAGAATCTGTTAACTTACCTGAGGAGTTATTACAGGTTCTACTTAAAATTTTTAATTAAGTAGCAATCAGATTCAGAGCATCAGACAGTTTGAGTAATACTTCTTTCAGTAAGAGGTTCATGCTTGAAGATTAATGTACAACAACAGGCACGTATTAAATTTGAAGCCCAGGTAGTAAGCAAGTTCAGCCATAGCCACGCAGTCCTTAGGAAGTCTCCCAGAAGAGGAGAGAAATAGCAAAGGCTGGTAGAAATTCTCTAGCTTCCTTTCCCAGAGATCTCCAGCAGAACCATCTTTCCAGATGATGGCTACAAACAGTTGTGCTGTGGTCAGACTTGCCAATGGGTAGCTGCCAAACTAACTCATCACTCTTTTGTCGATAAAAGATTAAAAGGTCCATATGTCCAATGCTGCAAGATGGGAAACTGCAGGCAGCTGTTACGGATACAATACACTGTTTGCTCCAGTCCTCTCTTTTATAAACTTTGTAATGTCCCAGAACAGCGACAGCAGAAAGGAATGTGTGGTTGAGCCTGAACTGTTTCAGTGTAAAACCTCACATCTAACTGTAATATTGTGATGAAAGAGAGCGCAGCCTCTAAGGCCAGGGTGCACTGAACTGTGGCCAAGGCACTGCAGACACACTGCCTGCTGGCTTTGCTGGGCAGGGAGGACAGCTGGAGGTGAAATTTAAACCAAGGCAGGAGGCAGGGTTTGGCAGGGCTCAACTGCCGGAGCCCTCAGGGAGGGAAGAGGCTGGCACTGGGACATGGGCTCCTACAAGGAGCCATCATGTAGTGGGGCTACAGTGGGTCTCCACTGCTTCTACTCACATCACGACATGCATACAACATGAGCATGAGCTGAGCAGGAGGCAATTTGAGATGAGAAGGCCCCCAATCAGCCTGTGTATAAAGGATGAGCAAGGCAGCAGGAATCAGGGGATCAGGACCAGTATGTTCATACTGTATCCTAATCACCATTTCAGAAAGGAAAAACTGGGACCAGCACTGATGAAAATGCCAAAACAGCCTTTGTGATCCCTCTGCAGACAGTCACGCAGGCTGTACCATTCCCACTGCTCAGGTGTTACACCTCACTGCTAATGAGTGTTTACCATGACCAGCATTGGGCTATGACTAACAGAGTCATGGATTTCAGCTGTATGTACTAAAAAGTACCAACTATCTGAACACATACTGTTTTTAACTCTTCAAGCTGGAGATTAGAATAATGATTTGCAGCACAACTAACCAGTCAACTCCCACAAGAAGCAAATGGTTACTAGCCACAGTGAAAAAAGGCTCTCCAGCAACCTAGAGCTTGAGAGTTTGTGGCCCCTGCTTTTGGGAGAGACCGTGCACACCACACTTTGCCAGACATTAGGACCTCAAAAAAAAGATTTCACACATACAGTGGGAAAAGAGGATACATTTGCAGTAGATATTGTCTGTAAATAACCTCAGTTAAAACAAATTGCTCACTTTAAAAATGCTGTAGTAGAAATGAAGTAATTATCTTCGTGTTAAACTTTCTTTAATTTTAGTGCTTCTACCTAGGGAAAAAATGATTAGCCTTGTTTACTGAGGTGCCAGTGATGGAAATAACATACTCTGTGTGACTTACAGCTTTCTCTTCTACTGAAATCTGACACAAAAGTAATCTTGGGCGCTTACAGTGCTGTTATCAGGACTGGATTTTTTAACTACTCATTTTTAAAAATTTATTTTTAAGCCTCAGAATACATTATTTCAGCCTGTTACTTTTATGACCCTTTCAATATGGCTTAATCTTCTTCAAAAAGGCCATAAGTACATGGTTGTTAAAGCAAATCTCCCATTTTCCTCTCTATATTCCTGGAAGGAAGCATCAGCACCAGTATTTTTTTTTTCCCTTGCATCAGCACCTTCATGATTTCCAGCTGCAATATTTACTGGAATAAGGTTGCTTCCTTAGCAGAAAGCACATTAACTCCTACAGGCATAGGAAACACTATTTTCTTCCTGCTGAGAAGCCAAAGGGATCAAACAGTGATATGAAACTCAAAACATTAATAAGATTAAAAACATTAAATACCTTGCTCCTACAGAAAGAATCAGAGGGAATGTGGAACATGGACATTGTCCTCCTAGAAGTTCAGAATGCATTTAGGGTGATAATTTTGGTCAATATGTTAACTTAGTTGATTGCTAAAGGTAAAGCACTTCTTACAGTGCATTAATGTTCACAGCCTTCACTTTGGATCCACAATCCATTCTGTAGGTGTGGTACAAACATGAAAAAAAAAGCTTTTATGTGTATACAGTTTACTGTGTTTTCATTGAGTTAAACAATGAGGAAAATTGCACTTCAGGCACCAGAAATGGTTAAATTAGAACATGCATTAAAAAATAAGATAGTAAAGTTTTCCAAACCCACATGGGGCATGATAGTAGCAAAAGAATAGATAAGATGGTGGTTTTTTTTCAACCATTGAGAATATGATTAGGATAAGGAAGGTTATCACAGAATCACAGAACCAGCTAGGTTGGAAAGGACCTTGAAAATCATCTGGTCCAGACATTAACTTAAATCTATCACTGTAGGACCTATATCCCCGAGGGGTAAGGTCTTTCAGTCAGGCTTGGATGCTCCTTCCTCAGACACCACAAACCAATTATGAGCTAGAATCAGAATAGTTAGATTATGCCTGCTACATTTTCTACAAGACCCAGAATCAGCACCAAGGATACTTACATTCCACACGAGCATCTCTTTACACAAGTCTCAAGGCAATAAATTTGGAATACCTTCTAGCTCACATCAGCAATGTCCTTTATCTCCATCTTTCAGGTAGCAGCTGAAGGCACAGTAAAAGTGATACAATTCTTTGATTCACCATGAGATCCGATTTACTATTTAGTGCACAAAGGGAAGTCAATGACTACAGTAACCCCAAAACTGGTATTAGTGGAAACAAAGCATATGAAGCCAGAGATGCATTAGTGACTCACATTACAAATAGTTATAATATTATTCCACTAGAAAAGATAATTAAAGGTTTCAGTAGGAAAAGGAGACACTACTTACTAGACAGTTAAATAAAAAGAGGTAAGAGGCACCTTGATTCCTGTGTTCAGTTTTGGGCCCCTCACTACAAAAAGGACATTGAATGACTCGAGCGTGTCCAGAGAAGGGCAACGGAGCTGGTGCAGGCTCTGGAGCACAGGTCGTACGGGGAGCGGCTGAGGGAACTGGGGGTGTTTAGTCTGGAGAAGAGGAGGCTGAGGGGAGACCTCATCGCCCTCTACAGCTGCCCAGGGAGGTGGTGGAGTCCCCATCCCTGGAGGTGTTTAAGAGTTGGGTTGACATAGCACTGAGGGATCTGGTGTAGTTGGGAACTGTCAGTGTGAGGTCAATGGTTGGACTAGATGATCTTCAAGGTCCTTTCCAACCTAGCTGATTCTGTGGCAGATAGTCTTTTCAGAGTCAGAGTTATGCCATCTCACTCACTGTCTTCTTTCCTCTCAATCTGGGGAACTGAAGCTCCAGGACTTTCTCAGTGGTCATGTCCCTCAGAGAAAAGGAGGAACAGCTGGCTGTGGCTGAGGGATAAGCACTCTGACAGTATCTGCTCATTAGCTCTACTGAGACTGTTGGTATCACTTCTAGACAATTTTGATTCACTTGGGTGTTTTCCCCTCCCTCCACTGATACCTTCCCATGTGAAGAGCTGGCAAAGCAATCAATGTGAGCTTCATCTGGAGTTAGAACTGCTCTGGCACAGGGTTTCTATGGCATTGGGAAGATTCATTGGGTTCAGAAGGCAAATTGTCATGAGTAACCAAACCCTGTGCCCACAATCCACTGGACAATGAAGCCACAATTCAGGTCAAGGGGCAAAGGATCACAGCTTTCCCTTTATCTGTATGACAACAAATTATATACAGTAGGATTTGGTTTACTGTTGGGAAACAAAACTGTCTAGCTTTACCCCACTGATGTATTTTAATGCTTTCCTGCCGACACTTACCTATTAATCACTTAGATGCACAAAACCACAGATACATATACACTGCCTACTCTCAGGATGCTCTGCAGTCACACCACAGAAGAATATGCTCAATTCTTCTGATGCTTTTCACATATTGAGAAGGAGTATTTTGGAGCTTTTTTAATACACTTTCTCAATACAGCTAAGCCAAGCTAATGGCAACTCCACAGCTAAAGGAGTGGTCCTGTGTTACTACTCCTTTTTCTATCCCTGGCATCAAGCTTCTGCACTTCTTGCTTTAGCACTAGAGTGCTGTCCAGGACTGGCATCCTTCTGGTGCACAGACCTGAACTGGTGACATCTCGATCACTCCTATTCTTTAAACAGGCTTAGTAGAAAACAAGGGAACACCCAACAGCAGAGAAACATTTTTTTTTTCTGCAGTCCTCTGTACTGTTTTGCTAACTGCATTTTGGTTCTCTGGTGTTACTGTTAATATTCAGCTGACTGGGGAGGTTTCAGAGCAGCCTTCTGGGAAGTAAAAATTCTAGAAAACAAATTACTTTGACACAGCCACAGCACAACATACTCCCTAGCTGAGCTCTGTATAGACACAATGACAGGATGCGGACAGCACAAAGACTATCTATAGCTCCTCCGAAACATGTGAGATTGGCCACTGAAGGAAAGAGCATGAACAATTTGTCTGCCTGGAGTCATTCAGCAATATGATGTTGCTATGCAGACACACACAAAATAAAAATCAGTAAGACTTCTGAAGGTCTTTCATCATCCTTTGACCTTGACACAAACCTCAGTGGCCCTAAGTTTCTATGAGTTTTGGACTTCAATAACTCTTCAGAACCATGCTTAAAAAATGTAAGCATAGGCAGAGCTGCTGCACTCTATTAGCTTTTTGTTGTTGTTGTTGTTTTAAACATCAACATCTACTACATGGGACAGATTTTTCTAGACACTACCCTCTGTTTTTCACTCAAGAATAGCTGAGGACCCAGACCATACACTTACAGTTATTGCCACCTATAACAGGGCAGACTGATTTCAGGCTCTGCTGGGCAGGCAGAAATGTGGAGCTGCATGTCTGACCAAAGGTATAGAAAGTGCAGGTAAACAGCAACATATTGCTTCACTCCCATGCAGAATGAAGTAATTTTGGGCAAGTTTGTCAAAATGGGCTCATATCTAGGCTGGAGGGTGGTAGCATTGATGAGATCAAGCTGTGACCAGCAAATTTGCTTTTGAGTGCAGACCGGAACACAGACAAAACACCCCAAAGCACTAATTTAGAAGTAGTGAACTCATGCCACCTGGTGGTTAGCATCTCCTCTGGAAAAACACAGTAACCGTGTTAATACAAGAGATTAGTAGCAGAACCATGCAATTAAATGATGTAATGCAAACCTCAAACACCCTTTTTATTTCTTTCAGCGCAAACAGGTTTAGCGAAGAAGCACGCATCAAAGCCCACAGGAAATACAGCCCCGTTAACAGCCTGAAGGACAGATGGCAAGAATGGGCCGACCAACACATCATAACGCAGAAGCTGAATCCCTTCAGCGAGGAATTTGACCACGAGCTGGCCATGTCCACGCGCCTGCACAAAGGAGATGAAGGCTATGGCCATCCAAAGGAAGGAACCAAAACTGCTGAAAGGGCCAAGAGAGCCGAGGCCCATATCCACCGGGAGATTAGGGACATGTGCTTCATCATTGAATCAATGGCTAAGCCACGGCCCGATGGCAAGATCCAAGTCACTTTTGGGGAACTCTTTGAGAGATATGTTCGTATTTCAGATAAGGTTGTTGGGATTCTCATGAGAGCCAGGAAACACGGGCTGGTGGACTTTGAGGGAGAAATGTTATGGCAAGGAAGGGATGATAATGTCGTAATTACTTTATTAAAATAAGCATGCTACAACCAGAACAACTCGTTTTGGAAAACCCTTCTCCACTTCTTCCTTGCTATTAGCATTAGCACAGTTTGAAGATAAGATTCCACCCATTCACCCACACAGAAAAAAAGACAGCATTTTTCTAAATATATATTTAACTGCTGCATGATAATACAAGCATCTTAATGGATTTTCCTCTGTACAAGGAGAGCTTGCAAGACATTACAATTACCACATGAAAAATAAAGAGAAAAATCTGTATTGAATATAAGCAGTTGATTATAAAAACCCATAGCAATATGGGTTTTTATAGCTACAAGTGAACTCCAATTTTTACTTGTTCTTACATTCAAGACCTTCCCAACTAAATTGGGATATCGAGAATATAAACCATAACAGATCAGAAGTTGATTGACAATATAAACTCAGACCGTGTTTGATCTGTGAAAGTGATCTTGTGCACATATTTCCTGATTAATTTATTTAAATGCATGTAAAAATAACATTATTTGAATAAAGAATCAAGGATACCACATTTGTTTCCTTTACAAGCAGGGTATGCAACTATAACTGCCGTATTATCTTGTGGCAACTATTGACACAGCCTTCTCTTACATATCACATAAAAGTCAAAATCTTTCTTTTTATAAATAAGGTTTTATATTTATTGTATTTATATAACTAAGTTACTAGATAGTTTCATATTTAGAGTTATGGATGTTGGGAGTGAAAATACCCAAAACAGTGTAATGCACAAAAAAGTTCTGAATATATAGTCACATCAAAAATACCTCCTATGCAACATTTTGCAATGTATCATCTGATGACGTAAATACGGTTCTTACAAATACAGGGAAAAATAACATAAAATAGTCAGATACTTCTACTGTTGCATATAGCAAAAAAGTGACCGACTACAATCAGCATCTTCCACTAAAGTATACCTCTGTGAGAAAAGTCACGGAAACAGTGTTCATAACTCAAAATCAACTAACTTTAAGGAAAATGGTGTTTCATATTACACAGAAACACTGGCCTAATTTTACAGCATTTGTGTTTGAACCATTCTTATGTCACTGAAATAATCTATTTCAGTCCAGGTGATGCTGAAGAGGAGTAAATGGTAATGAACTAATACTTCTAGGTCTTAAACCTGTTTGTATTACGCACAAATCTGAAGCCTCTGTAAAGTCTATAATGCTTACTGGATTATATAGAACACTGTTTCTCTAAACTACTACCGTAAAAACGATAAATATGTGCTTCATGTGAAAAGCATTTGATTCGGAGCAAGACAGCTGGTCAAGTAACTTGCATAATGAAAAAGAAGTAAGTTTTTTTCTCTGTAAAATTCTTTCAAACTGAAAAGCAACTATCTTCTTACAGAAGAAAAGGTGTATAAACGTCTTGTTTCTGTGATAAAACAAGTATTGCTATCTTCTTATGAGAGTACAGGTACTCCAGTTTGAAGCTCCAGTGAATAAATATTTTATAAGTTAGTGATACAAGAACTGATTACTATGTCTATTGTGAATCTATGTAAATCATTAATATTTTAGGCACAGTTGTATTTTGTGAATCTAAATTGTAAGATGGAACTTATTCAGCAATGTTTTCTTGAAATGTCTCAGACTACTTAAGGTGACCTGCAAAACTGACCTCTAAGTGTAACACTTACATATCGTAATATTTATCTGCATGTTCTTATTTGTTATGTTTTTATATAACGACCTTTACAGATGTCTATAACGTTTGAGGAAATTTAGTTGTCAAAGGAATACATGAACTATAAATAAATCCCTTAATTAATTATTTCTTGGGTTATTCCTCTCACACACTAAAGAAGAAATACATGTGCATATTCTGTGAAGTAAAACATCAGTAAGTTGTTTCAAAATATAAGTACGCTATCCTTTTTCCAGGCAGTTAAAATACTTCCCTGTGCAGGCTTCTCTGTCCAAAGCACCAGAACAAGATTTGAGAATACATGGAAATGAAACAGTCCTTACACAAAATACCTGTACAAAGAACACACACTAAAGTTACATAAGTGTTAAGTAAATTACATACTCCTGCTCGTGAGAACTCTCATCCTACCACAGGGCAACACAGCAGACATGGAGTTTCACCACAGATGTTTTTTTCAGTGTTATGCTTATGTGTGACTTAAAAGGCCAAGAGCACCTCACCATTGTGTGAGGAATCATATACATCTGCTTACATTCACTGAACCAAGACAGTAGGAATGATATATTTTTGTACCAAAACAAACTGTAGTATACCAATAAGGGGTGCATTTCAATACTCTGCATGTTTAAGCATGTAGTAAGAGCCTGTGATTTCATATGAAGTTTATGCCATCTAGTACTTCAGGGAAACATCTGGAATACAACTAGGCACACACCGCTGAAGTATGAATAAAAAAAAAATAAAAAAAATCTTCCTGACTTAAGTCTTGAGCCAACAAAGTAGCCTGCCTTTTGTACTTTAGAGTAAATTAAGTTTTCCTACTTCTTCTTACCTGTTTGATAGGAACATGGAAGTGTGAAGTGCCTCTTCTACTCTATCTTCTAATGAAGAAATTGTTACACAAAAGGAAGGCAGCAATTGTTGCCAACAATTTTGATTCACACAAGAACCATCTTTGCCTGGTTGCATGCCTGATGACAAAACGGCTGGGCTAACTGGATCACAGATTTAACTCTAGCATTTCCTGCTCTGGCCTCATATGATGCAGGGAGGCAGACTCATGACTTGCACCAAATAAACTGCTGCCATTCTCAGATGCAGTCATCTTCCTCCAGTTCATTAGGGCAAGTTAAGCATTTACTTTGGAGGCAACAACTGATCTTGACCCAGTCTTAAGATCTGAAATTTCAGCATATCTACACATAAGTAAATGCTGAGATTCATAGAAGTTTCATTTGTTTAAACATTTATGAGCAACATATTACCAACATTTGACTATTCTGAAGGCTCCTGCGTGCCCACCAGAAGTCACTGTGGACAAGACTATGCTATAACTGTTTCTTATAATGCATATACTAATACAAGGGGCAAGAGAGACAAGGACAAACTAAGCTGCAAGGCAAGTTTCTCAGCTGAAATGTAATTCAGTGACAAAGGAGATGGGGAACTCACCTATTTTATCCTTTATGCAATGTAGTAAATAGAACTGAACTTCTGTAACTTTTATTCAAACACATTCAGCAACAGAACAGACCAGTGGCACTCTGCTTCTTGAATCTCAGTATTTCATTTAACTGACAGAACACAGAAAAGAATCATTTAGGTTGGAAAAGACTAAGATCATTGCATCCAACTATTAACCTTACGCTGCTGAGTCTACTACTACACCATGTCCCTAAGTGCCACATCTACATACATTTCAAGTATCTTCAGGGAAGACAACTCAACCACTTCCATGGGCAGCCCGTCCCAATGCTTGACAACCCTTCTAGTGAAGAAATCTTTCCTAATATCCAGTCTAAACCTTCCCTGGTGCAACTTGAGGCCATTCCCTCTTGTCCTATCACTTGTTACTTGGTTAAAGAGACTCATCCCCAGCTCTCTGCACCCTCCTTTCAGGCAGCTGTAGAGGGCGATGAGGTCTCCCCTCAGCCTCCTCTTCTCCAGACTAAACACCCCCAGTTCCCTCAGCCGCTCCCCGTACGACCTGTGCTCCAGACCCTGCACCAGCTCCGTTGCCCTTCTCCAGACACGCTCGAGTCATTCAATGTCCTTTTTGTAGTGAGGGGTCCAAAACTGAACACAGGAATCGAGGTGTGGCCTCACCAGTGCCGAGTACAGGGCTCAGATCCCTTCCCTGTCCCTGCTGGCCACGCTATTGCTGACACAAGCCAGGATGCCATTGGCATTCTTGGCCACCTGAGCACACTGCTGGCTCATATGCAACCGGCTGTTGAGAACACCCCTAGGTCCTTTTCTGCCAGGCACCTTTCCAGCCACTCTTGTCCAAGGCTGTAGCACTGCAGGCAGTTTTTGTGACCCAGGTGCAAGACCCAGCCCTTAGTCCTGTTGAACCTCACACAATTGGCTTCAGCCCATTGACCCAGCCTGTCCAGATCCCTCTATAGAGCCTTCCTACACTCAAGCAGATCAACACTCCTGCCCAACTCGGTGTCTGCAAACTTACTGATACATTTCATCCCCTTGTCCAGATCACTGATAAAAAGCACTGTGCCCAGTACTGGGGCCTGGAGAACATCACTTAAGACCATCTGTCAACTGGATTTAACTGAATTCATCACCATTCTTTGGGCTCGGCCATCCAGCCCATTTTTTACCCAGCAGAGTGCATCCATCCAAGCCCAAAGCAGCCAGTTGCTCTAGGAGGTTATGGGAAACAGTGTGAAAGGCTTTATTACAGTCCAGATAGACAACAATCACAGCTTTTCCCTCATCCATTAAGAGGGTCACCTTGTCACAGAAGAAAAACAGGATAGTCAAGCAGGACCCACATTCCATAAACCAATGCTGACTGGGCCTGACCACCAGGTTGTCCTGCATATACCGCATGATAGCACTCAAGATGATCTGCTCCATAACCTTCCCCAGAACCAAGGTCAGACTGTCAGGCCTGTAGTTCCCCAGATCCTCCTTCCAACTCTTCTTGTAGATGAGCACTACATTTGCTAACCTCCAGTCAACTGGGACCTCCCCAGTTAGCTGGCACTGCTGATAAATTGAAAGTGTCTTGGTGAGCACTTGTGCCAGCTCCCTCAGTACCCTTGGGTGGATCCCATCCAACCCCATAGACTGTTGTGTCTCAGCAGTGTAGCAGGTCTCTAACCATTTCCCCTTGGACTATGGAGGCTTCACTCTGTTCCCCATCCCTGCCTCCCAGCCCAGCGGGCTAAGTACCCAGAGAACAACTTGTCTTACCCTCGAAGAATGAAGCAAAGAAGGCATTAAGTACCTCAGCCTTTTCACCATTTCCCACTGCAACAAAGAAAGGATGGAGATTCTTCTTGGCCCTCCTTTTGTTGCTAATGTATTTATAAAAACAATGATGTCTCCTTGGATATTGGAACCCTCAAATATACAGGCATTTATACTTACCATATAGGATAAAACCAAGATTATACGTTTAGAGAAAGGTAACATTAGATCAAATGACATTTGAAGGGGAAAAAAACCCACTATACCCTTCAAGCTCACAAGCTCTCTTCAAACCTCCCCTTGCCTTTAATTCCTTAGATCAGCTGTGTAACAATGCAATCACTATTATACATCAGAAATCTATAGCTCATTGCAGATTTAAGCCTCGTGTTCATAATCAACCCAATGCAATGTTAAAAAAAAATGATGCAACAAAAAAAATCACCTTTTTTGATTTTTCCAAAGTATTTCATTTCTAACTGGATAAGAAAACCACATATGCAATGCCTAATGGTTTGTCTCATTTGTTCTTCATCATTTCACTCGGAGTACCATGAAAAGCCTTTTAAACTTGGAAAAGTATTTACAGTTCTTATGTAAGAGAAATATTAAATATTGATGTAATTTATGATATATGGAAGCATTTCATGTAGGTTTATAACTTTTTTTACATAAAGATATGTGACAAGTTTATCCATGCAAAAATAGATGGAGAAAATAAATCTGAATTCATTAAAAAGCAACTGAAGTACCCCATAAATTATCCAGTCTAACTCTCCTACTACATTGTAACTGTTACAGTCCTGTGAAACTACTGTGACCTCTGTCAAATTTAAATATTCTACACAATTTCTAAGTAGTAAGATAATAAAGGTCAAAACCTGCTTGGCTGAAGCAGTCTTCATAGATTTTAAGATTTTACTTTTTTCCTATTTCTGACTTGCTTCAAAAATAAACCCCTTAAGAGTGAGCAACACTTAGTTTATCTCATTTAGCTTACAGTTGCATATTATTTTCTTAAATACTACATTCACACCCCCCCAAATGTTTTATTTGCAAGAACTTTTCTTCTGATAAGTAACATATCTCCCTCATTTTCCTGTCTGAGGCTTGTGTTGCTCTTGCAAGGGTTGTGTAGTTTGCTACTGAAACGTTCTTCTGTAGGTACAGTAAGGTGCATTTTCCATATTCCGAACATATCTTTATTGCTTAAGTGACAGTATGGAATTTGTATCAGAATAAATAAATTTGACTTTCACACCTTTGTATTTTTTCAAGTCATACAACAGCTACTTCAGTGGATGAAGTGAGTGGATGCTTCACTGGACATATTATCCCACCCACTAGAAATCAGGTCCCTCCTCCATGGTAGTAATTCCTTCTTTAAAATGTTTCTGTACAGCCGAGATTCAGTATTACAAGGGAAGGCTACTGAAATAAAATTAGCTGTAGTGGAAAGTGTAATATTTGTGGCAAGTTGTTCAGTTGTTACTGAACACAGAACAAATACTGGCAAGCCCTGTTGCCACAGCTCCTTCAGCTGCTATGTACATGCTGCACCACACCAACATCTCAACTAAAGTCACTCCTGTCACCACAGGGCACACGAAGTAGTCTAGTGTTCAATGCCATGTGTACTGCTAGCAGCATAACTACTACAACAGAAAGTCAACAAGGATTAAAGTTTATCAGGTAAGCAGGACAGAAGAAAGCAGAGCTTAAACAGACCTGACATGGGCGATGCTGCAGTGCGACTGCCAGAAGGACCACTTTGGGTTATACATTACCATGCTATGAATAAGCATTCATCATTCACTCACCTGGACTCTCTCCCTCTGCTCCAGTAGAGTGTAGCTCTATTTCATACTGCAGTAACATGTACTCATAAGGGAAGAAAGAGTAAAGGTTGAGCTCCTTATGGCTCCCTTGAGCTCTCTATTGCTGTGACAACAGTAAAACACACTGATGATGTGTTCATTTACAGAGGAAGAACATGAAAGTGAGATTTAAGATTCAAGTCCTGAGTGAGGAATACTGTGGAGTATTCAGATCACTTTATTTTTTTTTAATTTGAAATTGAGTGAGTAGTATTTTTACCCCTCTTCAAAGACTGGATTTCATGCAGACATGCTAACTCCCATACAAAAAGAAAAATCTAATGTAGCATAGATAGGTAAGTAGGAGAGTGCAAGCACAAGCCATACGTGAGAAATCATGGCCTTTTGCAGATTCTACAAAAGCCGTAATTAACAAAAGACAGGATTTAGAGCTGAAAGATGATGTGGTAAGAATCCCAGGTATCTGAGCAAAACATGAAGTTAGTCAATGAATTCATCTGAGTACTGTATGATGAGACAGTTTTCTGGCACCAAACTCTTTCAAAGTGTAGCTCATAAAGCCTCCAGCATATGCCAAACCTCAACTCTTTACAATCACAGAAGCAAACCTTGCCAGAAAAGATGGAAAGAAGTCATACTGCAGAAAATCTGTATTGAATTGAAAACAGGAGGTACACCAAGACAGTGCCTTTGATCTCACCTTTTATGTGTCACGCAGAAGTTAACTACACCTTTAGTCAACAAAATTCACCCTCTTTCATTGATAAACAAACATTAGTAGATCCTTTACACAGCCAGTCACATCACTCAGTGTTACCATGATCATTTATACTTTTGATTCTCTTTCTGTTCCTTAACTAATTTAGTATTTCTACAAGCATGATTGCTACTGTATTGCTTATTATACTCTTCTTGATTTCCACTTTCTGTCCTCCATCCCCCACCCCCACTCAGTGCCTAAGACTGCTCCAATACTCAGAGATATTCAGCTACTGAGTATTTTCTGTGCTTTTATGCAGTTCCTCAAAGTATAATTCTTTATAAAATTCTTCACAGTAGCATTTAAAATAGGCTTTATTTGCAATATGATCTTAGGATAGAGACTAAACACTGGAATTAATGGGTTTTGTCAGCAAGGATAATCTGAGACACCCTCCCCGCCTTTTGAAAATGGCTGAAGACAGCCTATTTCACTCTCACCCACTTCCCATTGGACTTTCAGAAAACCAAAAATCCCCAAAAGGATGAGCAAGTGCATCCTATATACACACAGTAACATTATTAAATGAACAGTAATAATCTGCATTTGTGCTTCTAAATAAACTCCAACTCAAGTTTATTTTTACATATATTTTGATTTATTTGCTATACATCACTGTGACCTTATAGTACTTAAAATCCATTACAGGATTTTTTTGTTGTTGTTGTAATAATCAGTCTTAACTCCACAAAGACAATAATACTGCTGTGGAAGACCAAAGGGGAGAAAAGCCATTTCAATTTATTTACAGTTCCTTATCTTGTAAACATTCAGTCTACACATTGTACTAAGTTCTAATAAGGATAAAGAGCTATACATAGAGACAGGAAACAAAGCCCTGTGTTTCTATTCACATTGAGCATTAGCATATTATAGATGAAACATCTGCCCTTTCTCATTACCATAGCAGTAAGCTGTCTTCAAATAAGTTTTTAGAACTTTCCAAAGATGTAAATGTTTTGAAATAATATACAACTACATCTAC